CACAAGTGGTTCTACTGGAATGCCAAAAGCGGTAGGTCGAAAACTCGCTCATTAATCTGTGCTTAATTTCTCTTCTTTTGCCAGGTTCGAGTTCGCCATCAGAATTTCACTAACTGTATTCACTCTTTAACTTACATTGATACATTCAACGAGAAGGACACAATTGTACAAATGGCGCGTTGTTCTTTTGACATCCATGTTCAAGAAATATTAGGCACCTTGATGACCGGATCCACATTAGTCATGCTTCGCCCACATGGAACAATTGATTTAGAATATCTCTCTAGAGTCCTTGGAAAGAAACAAATTACATATATGCATACTGTGCCGACGCTGCTTTACAACTTTCTCGTTTCGATCAAAGAGTCCAACAACGGAGAAGCTGTACAGTATCTCCGATCCCTTTGCAGCAGCGGTAAGCATCCGATCAATGCGTTTTGTAAAGCTTTTAGATTTCTTCCTTTTCACTCTTTTAGGTGAGCCATTCGCCCTCAAAGTACTCGATTTAATCATGGATATTGGTATTCAAAACGCCTGTACATGGAACTTGTATGGGCCAGCCGAGACAACCATCGGTTGTACATTACACCTCGTACATATAACAGCTGATAAAAAGAGCATTGCTATTGGTGCTTCCCTGCCTAATTATAAATGTACTATTCTAGATGAATTCTCACAATCAGCTGCTATTGACCAACAAGGTGAGCTGTTAGTGGGAGGTGTGGGTGTTTTTGATGGTTATCTAGGACGTAATGATTTGACAACAAGAGCACTTATTGTGATAAACGGTGAGATATTTTATCGAACAGGTGATCTTGTTCGAATGGATAGCGCTGGGCTTCTTCATTATCAAGGAAGAAAAGATTATCAAATTAAGTTGCATGGACAACGTGTTGAACTTGGAGAAATCGAACAATGTTTACTTAATACATTAATTTCCGCTTGTGTTGTCATCAAATGGGATGATGACCATTTGGTCGCTTATGTTCAAAGCTCTAATGTTGATGTAGAACAACTACGCCACCATTGCCAATGTCATCTTCCACCTTATATGATTCCATCAATATTTGTCGTTTTGGAGAAACTACCTTTAAATGCAAATGGTAAAATAGATCGAAAACTTCTTCCGGCACCCTCTTCCTATTTCTCTAATTCTCTACAACGGAATCATACAAATAGCTTACAAATGAAAAAACCTCATGATGAAATTCAAATTACACTTCATACTCTTTGGTGTGATATGTTTCAACAGAATCAAATTTCAATCGATACTAATATCTTTACTATTGGTGGTCATTCTCTTCTACTTATGCAACTTTATCATCGATATCAAACAACATTTCACTTAAAAAGAAAATCCCTCTCTATTAGTGATCTATTTCAATATCCAACAATTATTCATCATTCTCAATTTATTCATCAAGCTATGAATCTTGAAAAACATTTTGAAGATTGGTGGTCTCCTTTACATCTCATTCAAGGTAGATAAAAATTTTTTCAACATTTCAATTTTGATTCTCTATCGTTTTTCGACATATTTTAGCTCCAGCATCATTTGCTCAAGAAAGAATAGTTCTTGATGAACAAATTCGTTTTTCATCCAAAAGTAACAATGGAATATATGCCATTCCACTACTTTTTCGTGTATCATCTGTGAAGAATGACGTATCAATTACTCGATTACATCATGCATTACAGTTTGTCATCATGAAACATAGTATTCTTCGTACAGCACTTCATATCGATAGTAATGGTATTATTATGCAACATTGTTTGAATATGAATATCAATAATAATAATATTAAACCATATGGATTTTCAATAATTAATCTTCATGATGATAAAGATCGCAACATTGATAAAACAATAACAGAGATCATAAATAACTCTGATTTATTTGATTTAGAAAAAGGATGTGTTATTCATTGTCATATTCTTCGTCAATATCATTCGGATGATAATCTTTCATTTAGGAATGATGATCTATTGGTTAAAGATGATTTAATATTGTTTAACATTCATCATTCAGCATTTGATGGATCTTCTTTATCAATTTTTCTTTGTGATTTTTCTCTTGCTTATGAAACTGATTGTTCATTGCCTTTGGATGATAATGCACTGCAATACATTGATTATTCTATTTATGAACATCAAATGAATATGACATTATCACGTGACTTTTGGCAATCACAACTTAGAGGATGCAATCTCGAATGTCAACTGTCTTTGCCAATTGACCGACGACGTTCATTGACGGATCAACGATCTGGTTTTGCTTCGATAGCTAAAATCTCATTCGATGATGAGATTTCCACAACATTTCTAGATTATGCCTCTACACATAAAATGACACCATTTCAACTAGGACTGGCTACATTTTATGCATTTCTATTCAAATTAACTTATGGTCAAAGTGACCTCTGTATTACTTGTCTCAATGCCAATCGATATAGAAGTGAATTACAAAATATGATTGGAATGTTTGTCGCAACATTACCTTATCGTATTCAATTTGATTCTCATTGGTTATTCGATGAACTTGTCAAACATGTACAAGATAAATGTTTGTCAATTCTCGAACATTCTCATTATCCATTACAATATATTCTTGCTGATTCTCATCTCAATCAATCGAATGTTCCTTTTCTGGAGACAGTGTTTGACTTTGTCACAATTTCTTCGAATATGAATCACTTATCTTTGAATGATGCAACTTTAGAACAAGTATCATTAGAACAGTCATTTGAGATGGCTCCATTTGATTTCATGTTGACATTTATTTACAATCCAACATTGAATGATGGTAGACTTTCGTGTCGTTTCACCTGCTCGCATGATTTATATGATGAGTCGACGGTTGAGAACATAGCACAAAGATTTCAACATCTTTTCTTTCAACTTTTCTCTTCAAAATCTGGTGCGTCTCAGATTGATCAGTCTTTTACGCCTATCAAGAAATTGTCGCTTATTTTACCAGAAGAAGATGAAAATATGCATGGGGCAATCTTTCATAGATTACCTAATATTGTGGATGAAGGTATGTTCACAAACTATTTGTTTTCTTATGTGTAGGATGGGCCTTATATAGCAATAGTTTTAGAATGTGAAGGTGTTCCCTTCTGGTATAATAGAATGCTTTGATTTTTTTTCAATGATGAAAGGAAAGTTCACAGCTTTTCCTCCTACAAACAATGTCGAGAAAAACATCTTGGATTCAACTCTATGGGGTTCAAGAAAGAATTGTAACTTTCGCAGATTTCAAACAATCTCATGCGACAATTTTCTTTATTTAGTTTTTGAGAGTGAAATCTCATTCATTCGTGATTAGGTATCTATTATATAATAGACGAATTTGGTTTGAAGCATATAGCAATACTCCTAGCGTGATTCACTCTACATAAAGCAATAAATATTGGATTCTAGGATTTCCATGTTTGTACATAAATACGTCACTAATCCTCGAAAAGAATAAAAATCTTTGCTGAACCCAATGTTGTCTGTTCTTACTTGCATTTATTAACGTTGCTTTTACGATAAGAACCTTTGAAAAGTCTTCTATCATTGATTCAAAAAGTCAAGCTACATGGTTTATAGACTAGAGATTCTCAAATGTTTATTCCTGTTGCTGGTTTTTACCAGTGCTGTATAACAGTCATATCTGTATAGAATATTTTGAGAATGTCAGCCAATTGAACACGATGTGGTAATTGAAATATTATTTTGTCAGTTGTCTTATTTTCTCTACTTATGTGTCAAAGTTAATAATACTGATTGAATCGGAACTGGAATAAGTATCGTGTCGACATCGAACTTTTACGACTACTTAGTTGATTCTTATGTCTACGCGTTCGCATCGTTTATTTGCAGGAAGTAGACTTGTTTGCACAAGACAATGAAAATAAAAGAAATAATACAACGGAAAAAAAAAACAAAAGTCTTATATACGCATTGAAACTATCAAGAAAAGTAACTGACCTTGAGCTCTTATCATAAAATTTTCGAGTCTTACCTAGCACTATTTAATAGATTCACAAGTGCATAATTCTATTTTTAAACATAGCATATATCCCATCGAATATGAAAAAGATGATTTATATGAAAAATGAGAATAGGACATGATACTAATATTAGTAAAAGAATTTTTCCTGATATGTAAATTAGTTTTTTTCTTATTCGTTTGAAACATAGTAGTCTTTACTATTAGAAGTTTTCAAAAACTCGTTACATTTTTCCTTATTATTTTTTACTATATGTGAATGGAAATATGTAAGAAGTCATTTTTTGTGATGTGAGAAGAATCCCGAACTAACTGCAAAATATAAGCAATTCCATAATCTACACGTATTTTGAGTGTAACAAATGAACTGATATAGTTCGAACATGTTCTAGTTATTGTCTAGTCAATGAAAATTAATTCACGCTGTGTAGTAATATTTGGTTTATTTAGCACCAGCTTCTGATGCTCAAGCTCGCATTTGGCTTCACGAACGAATTCATTTCAATCCAGACAAATCACTGACGGCAATCTACAATATGCCTTTCCTTTATCGTCTTTGTCCGGGACATACTTTATCAATGCATCAACTTAGACCTGCTCTTCAGCAAATTGTCGGAAAACATGAATCACTTCGAACATCACTCTTCTTCGATACAGAAAAATATCAACTCATGCAACGAATCATCAATTACAACGATAATAACAATAGATTGTTTGAATTTATTGAAAGTATTTTTGAAACTGATCAAGAACTCGATCTCATTATGTATGAGGAGAAGCGAAACTCTCAACTGTTTAATCTTGGTCAAGGTCATGTCTTTCGATGCCATATTCTTCATCGGATACTAATCTCTTCAAATGATGCTCTTTGTGATAAAGATGCAATTATTTTTAACTTTCACCATGCTTTGTTCGATTTTCCATCAATGAATGTATTTCTTCATGATCTCAATCAAGCTTACAGTACAGGTCAGCTAACAATTAATGACAGTTCTCTTCTACGTTATCTTGATTGTGAGTAGAAATATTTCTTGTCTTATATTCTAATCACTCTTTCTCTGCTCTTATCTAGATGCTGCTATTGAACAAGAAATGCCAATGACTGCTGCGAGTATCTTTTGGCATGAAACTCTTTATGATTGTAATCTAGATCAATCTTTACAGTTACCATTTGATCGGTATCGTCTTTCTGATGAACATC